TGTCCTTGGTCAATAGTTTTGCTGCTAGAAGATAAACAAGACTCTACAGAATGCCACAAATCTGGAGGAGCCAGTTATGGCTGGCAGACTATTTCCTGCGATCACTTTCTCAACTTACATTTAATCACTTTACACCCAAGTCTGTAACCTCCTTTATTATGTGTGGGACACAGTTGAGGGAGGAATCCACAAAACTCTTTGTAACAACAAAGATGATCTGAACCCAAGGATTATGGCAGCATTCACGAAGTTAAAAAAGGAGAAGTTCCAGAAGAGAAGCCGAAGATTTCGAACTCGTCTGGAGGCCGTAGTTGAAACTAATGGCGATTTTATTTAATAATTTTATTATTTAGTATTTCAAGATATTATTTTGTATAATTTTGGCAAATATAGCTTTAAAGATGAGATGTCCATGCTATTTTCATTTTTGCGTAATTTATACGACGATATATCAATCGTAACCTGTACATATGTCTGCATATATATATATATATATATATATATATATATATATATATATATATATGTGTATATCTATATGTATGTATGTATGTATACATGTGGCTGTTACATCAAAATTGCCCAACTGGTGTGACAGCATAATTAGCCAGACCACAAAGTGTTTAGTATCTAAAATTACATCAAATGAATTGAGTTACTTTAGTCGAAGTTTTCAAATGAAACATTTAGTCATCTTGACACGATTTGTCGTAAGACTCTCTAAGACACCGTTTGACCTATTCCACTAGAAAGAGGACAGTTTAAAACGTTTTGTGCCTACCTCAGTATCCTTCCAACTGAGCAATGGTAAGAGGAATAATATCAATGAGTAATGATACCAAAATTCATATTCTGGCTTCCATTTACAAAGTCCATTCAAGAACCATCAAGACAACGGTGAATGTTTTAAAAAGGAGGAAAAAATGAAGAGGAAAACTGAATCATGATGACAGAAAAAGAAGAGCGCTAAAGAGATCAATTAGAAAAATTAATAAGAGGTTTAGTACGTGAGAGAAGAGTTTCAGCTATGACAGTCCAAAGCGGAGTGAAAAAATTTCCTGAAAAGTTGGAAAATTATACTGGAAAACTATATATATATATATATATATTTGAACTTTAAATACTCCATGCACTTCCGTTCTTTAGTTATGATCTATTAATTATGAACATGGCATTTTCGTTTCTGATCGATTTCAGCACGATTCTTCTGTTAAGCTTGGAGAGTAATTATACATTTTTATTGCTCAAAGTAGAGTCCAATAGTGTTATAACTACCTTAGATAATTCCATTAAGATATTTTTAATCATTTTTAAGATGCGAAATTTCAAAGCTTAAGCTAACAACTGGACAATTTTGCTCTTGGCAACCTAACACCTCTCTCTCTCTCTCTCTCTCTCTCTTTATATATATATATATATATATATATATATATATATATATATATATATATATATATATATGGGGGTAATTTTCCAAGAGCAAAATTGTCCAGTTGTAATATATATATATATTTGGGATGGTACTTTTTCAAGCGAAGGAGTAGTATCTTATTAGGGAAACATGAACGTTTTGTGTAGCGATGTAAAATAAAATTTATTATAATACAAATATTATAATAATTACCTCACAAAGAATCACACACACAAACACACACACACACACACGCATATATATATATATATATATATATATATATATATATATATATATATATATATATATATATTCTCGACCCTATCCATCTTTCATGGTAGATTGCAGGCAGTACAACACGAAAAATGTGACTAAAAGGAAACGGAACCTCATTATGCTTGAACCATATGCGTCTTCGTATTGGAACGGGTACATCCTCTAGCAGGTCTGGTCGAAATAAATTCCATGTAGACTGCTCCTATAAGACGTGCTGAGAGACCATATGTGCGTACCAGTCACCTTCAACTTGTCGCAAACTGATGCAGTTACTCGTTTGTATTGTACGATGAGTATACCTATCCGCCCATAAATGTTGCTTATGCAAACTTGTTATTTCATCTCTTTCAAATGTTGCTTGATCTGTACACAAGACTGAAGAGACAAACAACTGATTGGCAATTTGTTCAATAAACTAAAGGCAAAAGTTCACCCGTGGTGAGTGATCAGAGGGCGGAAGACCCTGACACAGTGCAAATAATACGGATACAAATTGTGGTGCCACGGTTCCTGTCTCAGCAAAGCGAAGACAAACCAGCGCAAGGTTTAGAAGACTCGGCTGCCTTTAGTCTAGAAATCCAATCTGATACAGTCGTGATGCCTGAAATCTATTACCATTCCACCGGCCATATGTAAAAATCATATCTGCCTGATCAGAATATGAATATCCCGTCATTATTAAACGGAACACATCTCACATAACTCACTACTTCACACGTTTAACGTTGAAGCAAAACTAGCCACAAATTTACACTAATGACAAATATAACCTAGTCTATATGAGAAGACAGCGCCATCTACCTATTTAAATTTAATAACGCAATAAAGATGGATTTGCGGACACATGTTTATATGGATATTTGCCATGTTTTTTGTGTGAGGAATCCGCCCCAAATTTACAAAAGTATTTTTGATACACGCTATATATATATATATATGTGTGTGTGTGTGTGTGTGTGTGTGTGTGAGAGAGAGAGTGAGAGAGAGAGTTTATAATAGATAGACAGTAATGTCAAAGAAAATTGCAAGGCTATGAAGTGCAATAATGACTTTGGAGTCAGATACATATTGATTTTAATTGGTTCCATTAACTTTTCCAAACTCTTTGACAAATATCAGTGCAGCGACTCTATCTGACTGTAGGAATTAAACTATTCTGCTATTTATTTTCTTGTAGTACAAGCAGTTTTTATACCGATGAGAGACATGCGAGTTCTTTTTGTTCAGTTACTGCTATTTGAGAGTGATCCGAATATGCGTCTTCGAGACTCAGGATGATTACTTCAAATAATTGTTACCATTTTGCACGTGAACCACAGGTGGTGCTTGGATGGTCGAATATTCCTGCACATCCTGACAAATACTTTGTCGCTGATGCAATGCAGAGTCTCGCAAACTTCGACGCATTTAAGTGAATCGACTTCCCCCAAAAAAACAAAAAACAGTCGTAGACAGACACAGTTGGGAATTGTTTTCCTTCAGAACTATCGACACGTGTGTTTAAAACAAACATCACCATTATGCTCATTTCTAGGTGTGTTGCACGCGGGTTTTATGCTGGATCGCATGTCATTCTGCTGGTTAGAACAGATTCTATTATCATTCAAGTGATGGTTATGTGTGCGCGCCCGCGCAACACACACCTGGGCAACATAAGCATCCAACATTTATTTGCCAAGTAGATAATATCCCAATGAAAAAATCGATGAGATGGCATTTTCTCCCATCTTTTATGTTCGCTAAGACAATCTTGAACAGTGTCCCTCACCTCCAGAAGATTTTACAAAACGTCATACTGCCACATCTGCTGCCATGTGCAGTCGTTTAATTCCTGTCAACACGATGACAGTGCTACTTAAAACGCTCTAAGAGATACCCAACAATTCCCCAGGCTGATGCGATCGAAGACCTCTCTTTTACTGAATATATTTAGTACACGGAGGCACGAGACCTGACTCCGTCAGTTAATGCATCTACAACTCTTACTACACTTTCTCATATGGGATAAGTGTCGAGTTTGCTTTCCTCTCCTCTTATGCATCACATCCCTGTTTTCAATGAAAATAAAAAAAAATGGTTCTTCATTGTTACATCCATAATTTTGGAAGCTAAATATAAGTGTCATGGGTCCTAAACTATAACTACAGAATGAACTCTTCCTAACACTATGTATACTACGCCTCTCAAGAGAGAGGGGAGGCAAGTAAATATGGAATCGAGCCGAGCTTCTCGGCTTGACGGTCGAACTATTTGCCTCTGAGCAAAGAGGAACCCGGACGAGGCTCCGCCGAAGGGCAGAGTCTCGTTCGGTGAGGTTGACCAACCCGATCCCGTTTATACGGGTTCTACGGGCATTTTTTTTTGCCGAGCCTACGGGCTCATTTTAACGTTAAACTCGGCCTTGTGCCATATGCAGCCGTCGTGGGGGGTGGGTGGCTAGATACCGAATCCAACCGAGCTTCTCGGTTTGACGGTCGAACTCTCTGCCTCTGAGTAGAGAGGAACCCGGACGAGGCTCCGCCGATAGGGCAGTCTTGTTCGGGGAGGTTGACCAATCCGATCCCGTTTATACGGGTTCTACGGGGATTTTTTGGCCGAGCCTACGGGCTCGGGAAACCCACGTTAAACTCGGCCTTGTGCCATATGCAACCCTCGTGGGGGGCTAGATTCCGAATCGAATCGAGCCGATATTAGTTCACTCCAAACCAAACTGACAGTCATACTAACACCTTCCACATCTTGTATTATTATTTCGTGTAATATACCTTCGTTATTTCTACTCATGTGTTCGTGTTGTTCTTCCTTGGTCCTAACCTGGACCATAACAATAAGTTTATAAATTAATGTTGTGCTAGGATCCACCTAATTTGCATAGTGGAGTACCGAGCATATAAATATGGTTGGTACCGGGAAGAGAGGGAGGAATCAAGAGATTCAACCAGAGACTCTGCCCGACTGCGGCTCAGTCAACACATTCTCCAGGAACGGTCTTACCAGGAATATACAAAAGACTATATGTAAATATTGTGTACACTTTCTTGTTTCAATACATTTTGTTCTAAGTACATTTTGTGTTGCATTATTATTCCATGCATTAGTCAAGTTTCAACAATTAATAATAAAAGAAGAATTTGGAACAACTTGTATACATTTAGGCATTACATCCCAGGAAGCGTCGTGAATAATCTGAACCCAAGTACTCGATGTATCCCCTATTTTAGAACTACTGCGCATATTGATAATTCTCTGTACTTTTAATTTTGGTTAAATTGAAACATACACTCGCTTAGTGTTATTATTTTATTTTCCTTCAGAAAGAAAGAGAAAAGAAAGAAAAATCAGGAAGCACTGGAAGAAAGATAGCAAAAAAAAAAGAAAAAGAAAAAAGGAAGATAGAAAGAGTGCCGATACTAAGCATTGATAGAAAGACAGAAAGAAAGGTAGAAAGGAAGACAGAAAGAAAGAAATCAGTTATTAAGCACTTCAATAAAGAACGACGAAATAAAGACGAATCCAGTTCGTAATCACTGTCAAAAAAGAGAAAAGAAAGAATAAAACGAAGACAGAAAGAAAGCAGATACTAAGAATTGAAAGAAAGAAAGAGAAAAGAAAGAAAGACAGGCAGAAAGAAGGAAAGCGAGGAACAGAAAGCAAATGGTTATTAACAACTTGAATAAAAATCAGAAAAGAAAGAAAGAAAAAAAACAGTCAGTAAGCACTGGAAAAATGAAAGAGAAAATGAAAAAAAAAAAGGAAGAGAGAAAGAGAATAGATACTAAGCAGTGAAAGAAAGACCGAAAAAGTATGTGTTAAATGAAAGAAAGAAAGAAACCCGTTTTTAAGCACTTCAATAAAGAAAAAAGAAAAGAAAAGAAAGAAAGAAAGTCGATTACTGCTGAGAAAAAGAAAAAAGAAATAACCAGATTGCAAGCCCCTGCAGAAGGAAAGAAACAAACAAATACACCAGATAGAAACCACTGGCCAGCAATTTAACCTCCCACCTGTAGCAAGTAGAGCAATGGATATCAAGTTTTAACCTTTTAATTATTTGCCACGTTGCTCTATGAGGATCGCCGAAGTGACGCTAAACTGCTGGTCATTTTCAGTAACGCCATTACGTAAATCATAGCTTAAAATCGTGTCAGGATGATGTAATAAAAGCTTAGATAATTAAGAAATATATGGCGCATCTTAAAGGCGACAGACGATCTGAAAGGAAAGTGGATTCAGGCTGTGCATAGGTCATTATGGCCGAATACTAGCAGTATTATTGTGTCCTAATGCACAGGCAACACATAGCTCACGGCTTTACAGTATGTCTCAGCTTTGCTCAACTAATCTCAACAAAGTCTGAGTAACACGTAGTTTAGAATAACTCAATGGAAGCGAAGCGATAATCTTCGGATGGTGCTAAACTTGATTTAGAATGGTTTTAAATTATTGCCTCTCAACGTCCAATGTTCCAGTAAAATCTTGTTGAAGAAGATTTACTGTTTATTAATAAATTATATGCTGAAGAATGTCCTAGTTTTGAGTGTCACATGAGTTTATCCTTTGATATTTGCAGCAGAGAAGACGAAAATTTGCAGATATTCTGCGCAATCTTCAGCGTCGTCGATTTGTTACTGATAGTACAAAATTGAGTATTTTTGTTTGTTTTGCATGTCCATATAGAACTTAATGAATTTACCAATAGTGTAACACTTGTCAGTACGGAAATTTAAACGGACGTCTCGAGTTCAAATTCTGGTCAATTCGTTTTTGTTAACGTCTCAAAAAAGGTCTTGGAAAAATCAAGGAGACTATATTGCTTCATTTATTATACAAATATTGAGGCAGGCTGGGCTGTCATGCCTTGATGTAGCTACTATTCTAGGAGCGAAAAATCATGATTTCATAATTAGATTGAATATGGATATGCTCAATCAGGTGATCTTTCCATAGATTCAACACTGCTTTGATAGATGCAGTTCTTTGTGTTCCTACAAGTCTAATAGATTACGTTATTTGTGATACAACATTTTATTGTTTTTTTATTCTGTTCCGCATTGTCAGCGCAAGAATTATTATCTGGAATCGGCAACCATTCCTTAGACATATTTACTCGTACAGGGTTATTTCAAGTTAAAACGACTATTTACTATATTCTACCTCTGTTATGCTGTTATACTGGAGATCGAAGCCAGATACCTTATACAATCGAATTTAAGCTAGCATATTAACTATTATTTTTTTTATCTTTCTCAGCATTTGGTAACACCTTAGTTTTATAAAGAAGGTGAACTAGTTCCGAAGATACCAAGTCTAGTGTAAATTCTCATTGATGGCATTAAATAGGCAAATCCAATCTATTTCAAAGCCAGAATGTCGACTGTCGCGTGGATGGGACAATATTTGGCAAAGGTTTCATTATTCTACGTAATGTACATTATTTTTTTTTCATATAGGAAAGTTTTTCGGTAAACCACACTAATAGACTTTGAATGAAAATAGCCCATCTAGTCATATAGTAAATGAAGTATGATAATATATAATAACCATAACTTGAGAACATATTTAACAGAAAACCATAATAATATTACAAGATTTATAGACATAATTAAGTATTTGGCCACATGAACGCCATTTCGACGGATACCTTCAAGAAACTTATTAGTCATGGAATCTGACATCTTTTTAACATAGAAGGTTGGACTGACTCTGCGGCAGCTTTGCTGGTCAACCACATGACATCTTTCGACATAAATTATAGATCGGTAGTTTGTGTAATAAACTATCAGCAAAAGATTTTTCCGTTGCGTGTAATCAGAGGGCGAAAGACCCTGTACCCTTTTCAACTGATATAAATACAGAAGGTGCTCATGAAATACCCTCTATGCAGTACCATGAAATGTACAATATGCTAGAGCCAATTGACGTGTAATATACCTGGATCGTCTCCGCACAGCCTATAGAATGTTTTCTCCGTGATCAGGCATACGAGTCGGATTTCGGTCTTCCTCGATCCATAGTTTGTGGTGCTACGGATCCTGTATTAGCAATGCGACGATATGCATCAGCAACGGTTAGATTACTCACCTGGCTTCGGTATTGAAATACAAAAGGATACAGTCGTGCAGCCTTGCGTCCACTACAATTCGCGCGGCTGTATGTAAAAATTATATCTGCCTGCTCCCGATATGTATATTCTACGATTATTAAACGGAACAATTCTCAGTTAACTAACTGCTCCAAACCTTAAACGTTGAAGATAGTTTAGCCCAAGATTTACACTTATTATGACAAATGTAACCTAGTTTACATAAAAACGCTGTGCCATTTACGGTAATAATAACGCATAATAACTCAAGAAGAAAGGATTTAAGGATATATGCTTATATGAACAGTTTTCCTTGTTTTGTTGTGAGGAGCCAGCCACCAAAACTTGTAAAATTATTTTTTCATATATATATATATATATATGTTGTGGTAGGATCCACCTAATTTGCATAGTGGTTGGTACCGGGAAGAGAGTTGGGAGGAATCCAGAGATTCAACCAGAGACTCTGCCCGACTGCGACTAAGTCAACACATTCTCCAGGAACGGTCTTCCCAGGAATATATGTAAATATTGTGTACACTTTCTTGTTTCAATACATTTTGTTCTAAGTACATTTTGTGTTGTATTATTATTCCATGCATTAGTCAAGTTTCAAGAATATATTAGTCAGCTCTCAATATACCACATAACACCCTTGAGCGCTTAGCCTTGGAGCGGGTAGAATGGAGATCAACTTGTTTTAGTGGACTCATCAGTTTTCAAACTGCATGCCTGACTCGTCTTCAAGAAGCGAGAGCAAGATCTAAAAGGTCAGCAAATCTAACAGTGATTCCATCCTACAATCCTTACTCTTGCTCCATATATGGCCTCCTTTGTAAATCGCTAGCGGTTATTAAGTGCCACTTAAGAGTATCGTAAAAATTTCATAACTGAATCAATGAAGCTGTCAGATCTCCATACGTCGAAACCGATGGGAGAGTCCATTATATAAATTATCAGTCACAGTTCAGATGGGATGGTCATGTCAGGAGAATGAGTGCTGATCAGATGCCGAAAATAATCATGTATAGCTAACTTTTTCATGGTAAACCTAATGTATGCCATCCTTGGTTTCGCTTCAAGGACAAAATCAAATACAATTTAACAGCTGCACAAATCCCCCATAGACGAGTTCGAAATTGCTGTTCAAAACATGGCAAACTGAAGAAACACCTGTCACCGAGGTATAATTAACTTTGAAAGGAATTGTCTTAACCATCTGAAAGAATTAAGAACCAACACTAAATCTTGGGTCAATACATCAATCCACATGACGGTCAACCCTTCAGCATGTCCCTCATGTCGACTTGTTTGCAAATTCTGTACAAGAGTGATGTCTCATACGAAACATAAACATAAAAACTGAACTGAAAGACAGTCTTATGTCGAAAACGACAGGAGACTTCATTACACACACACACACACACACACACACACACACACACACACACATATATATATATATATTCTTGAAGGTTCGTAGATGTTATTTTAAATAAGAAACATAAACATAAAAACTGAACTGAAAGACAGTCTTATGTCGAAAACGACAGGATACTTCATTACACACACACACACACACACACACATATATATATATATATATATATATTCATGAAGGTTCGTAGATGTTATTTTAAATGAGGGCTAAATATATATGCATAAGTGTATAACTTCAAGATTTATATGAGAATAAGAATAGTGAATAATGTTTTACAAACGATTTCTCACTTATACATGTAGTAAAACAGACTATTTTTTGACGAAGTATATTTGCTAACATAGGTATATGATAGACTTGGCTGTGGTACGCGTGTAGGTTTAGTTAATGGATTAGTAATATTATGGGATTAGTAATTTAAAACGAATGAATCATTTTGATTAAAATATGGAAGAATGGAAACAGGTTCCCGAGTTAGGAATCCAGGTTAAATTAACTTGTATCGAAACCGGAAGAAGTAAAATAGAAACACACCAAGACGAGTTGGGCGTGAAAAGCGTTTTTTTTTTTTTTTTTTGTCTGTCGTTGACGGACGTATTTTAATAAGAATGGTCGTACTTCTGGTTATGTCTGTCTTATGATTTTGCAACATTGAGGTGCGTAGCACGACGCTTTCAAGGAAGCAGCCTGACTAGTCCGGAGACAGGTCGATGTGGCTGTTTGAGCTGATATGATACAAAATACTAAATCGTCGAATGAGGACAGTGCATGACTCAAAACCATCCTTATTGTATCTAAAAATGTTTTATGCAACTATATATATATATATATATATATATATATATATATATAACATAATCAAACATTTACCCAGTAACAGCCAGTGTCAGGCTGTTAATCGGTACATAATATATATATTCAAAATTCTCACTAGCTGCCTCATACTTTCGGCCTTGTGTCACATCTAAGCTACGCTTAGAAAATAACTATATATTCAAAATCAGTTGAAAATAGAGAAGAATTATAAGTATGATCAAAGGAATGTGCAGTGATTGATTTTAGAAATTGATTGACACGATTACGTAAAATTATATCGTGTTGATACGTTAGTAGAGAATCGTTTTTACACTTGAAATAATGAGAATTTTGGGGTAAAATATTTTTGAAAGGACCATTTTCCAGTAATTCTATTAATAGACGCAACAAAATGACACTAAGAACTTTGAAAATTAGGAATAGCGTAAATCCAAGGATATATCCTTGTATGACATTTACAGTACTGCAGAAAGACTTAGATGAGCATCCGTTGTATGAGAGACATGGAATAATAATAACAGGGCAAAACTATAAGACATTGCATACGGGCAGAACCGGCTGGGAAAGCAGCAGAGAATAAATAAAATGACATTGAATGCAATAAATTGTCTGCTGCGCGATAATTGCTAGCGAAGTGTAAAATTTATAAAACTGAATTCAAGCCAGGGCCAGGAAGAAGTGTATATTGATTTCACTGAAAGAAAGTTTAAAACAAGATATTATAATCGCACTTCTTCATTTAAGCTAGCAAGGTATGAAAATAACACAAAACATTCAAGTTATGTATTAGAAGTAAACATTCAGAATAGAATTTTTAGTTTATTAAAGAGTAGTAGTTATTGATTATGCTGTATCATGAATAACCTAAGCTGCTTAACGAAATATCGAAGATCATGATAGCATGCAATCATTCTAAGACATTCCTAACAGAAATTTCCAGAACTGGTTAGGAGTATTTATATGAAATACTTAAATCTGTCCACACATTATTTTTTATCCCCGTCTAAATTATGTATATAAATAGTGTTTTGTTTGGAATATCCAATTTTAACTGCCTGATGGTACCTAATTTGTAAACAAATGAATATATATATATATATATATATATATATATATATATATATATATATATATATATATATTAATTACAGCTGTAGCTAAAATTATAAATGGAAAAGGGCAATATATATAACGACAAAAAGAAAATTTGTCTTAAACAACGCGATTCCTCCTATAGTGTTTTTTTTTCAAACCTTTATAATATCCATTAAAAGATAAAACACATCGACACAGATAAATTTTTGTCATTATATATATATATATATATATATATATATATATATATATATATATATATATATATATATAAAGAAATATAGTCTTAAGGTGTGCTATTTTATGGAATAAAGTGCTCAATATAAGAGATAGAGCGTGTGTAAATATAAAAGTGAACATAGTAGTTAATTTAACACTTAGAGGCGACAGTCTTATTTGTATGCTATTTTTCTAACAATCGAGAAAATTTGCAGTCAAATTTTGAAAGACGATTGCATGAAACAGACTGTCGCCTCTAAGTGTTGACTTATGTTTGAACAGAGTTATATATATATATATATATATATATATATGTATATGTATACCAGGTGTAACAGAAAAAAATATCCAAATCGTGTAATAGCATGGGATATTGTCCATCTCAAATAATGTTTAATATCTAAAAAACACTAAACTGAGTTTCTTTTTTAGGTTTTCAGATAAAACACTTAACAATCGTTTAACTGCCTTTTTCCAATAAGAATCACTTAAAAACACTTTGAGGAATTTAGCTAGAAAGAGAACAGTTTAAAATCATTTTGTGTCAGCCCCACACTGTCTTCCCAACTGATCAATGGTGGGATGAAAAAGTTCATTCAGTTCTTAACTAATGGTAGCAATATTCATACTCTGGCTTCCGTCTTCAAAGTGCATTCAAGAATCATGAAGAGAACAGTGAATAATTTTGAAAAAAGAGGGAATTGTTGAGAGAAAACTGGATCAGGTAATCGCAACTTGAAGAATAATCATCGTTTCAAATTAGAGTCGAATATATTTTTTTTTCTTCAGAGTGGAGAGCAATAGAATTCTAGTTAGATATCTTTTACAATTTCTAAGATACAATGATTCATAGCTTAATCTAACAATTGGAAATATGTGGTTATTTTAATGTGAAGAATATGTCCGAGTTTGGAAATATTTTACTTAAGCTGGTCCCGTGGTACAACTCATTTGATACAGCGATAGCTCTGTTCATTTAATGATGGAAATAATATATATTAATTTTAAAGAGAACCTTCTTTTGCAATGCACAAAATTCATCGCTTTATTATTAATGACATAGATGGAAAATTTCGAATCAACTTTGAGCTATTAATAGTTTCTTGCTGTGTATTTATTAATCAGTCTGTGTCATTAACGCACTAAACGCCATGAAATTATCCAATAGAAATAACAATAGATTTTCACAGTCATTATTCAAAAAGTATAAATAAGGCGAATTGGCCGTTCCTTGGTATGGTTTTTCTCCTTCTATTCCTTTAACCCTAGAACACTAACCATCAATTAAAGATACACCACTACTAACCATTGGTATATCATACCCGATTTTGAAAATATCAAAAAAAAAAATATAAATCTTTATTTGAAATATTTTACAAGCAGGCACTTCAAACTTTGTATTTTGAGTTAATATTAATACGAACTGAAAAACATTATTTAGGTTTGAAAACCAGGTACTGAAAATTGTAATTAAAAATAGGAAAATTTGCGCTGGGTACTATATAGCTATGGTTAGTGTTCTAGGGTGAAGCATATCTGCATTCTCTGGTATGTTTACTCTTTCTATTTTTGCACAATTTCGTCGAGTGTTTACTCTTTAGCCTGTCTGTATTTATCCCTAATTTATTTGTCTAATCCCCAATATTTTGTGCCATTGATTTTTGTCGCTCTTTCGTCATGTCAAGAATTTAATCTGCCATGATTTTCTTTATAGTTTTATCTGGGATAATCTCGCTTGCGGATATTACTAAAACTTCACTTAATTTGTCATACTTTAAATACCCATTCTCATTTGATTTCTTTGTATCTGCTTTTAACGCTGTTCATATATTTCTCATTCACATTCTGCTCATTCAGGTGGCTGTTGCATTGAAATTGTGGAGCGTGGACCAAAATATTACACTGACCAATTATAACTGGAAATGTATATTTGGAACCTTTGCAAATAAAATTATAAATGGACGATTTCTTTTAGGATTTTTTTTCCTGGCAAGGAAAATACATTTTACATTTGGCATACTGTTGTAAGATGCTTGCGGAATACTTTTATTTTTAGATATCATTTCCTGCTGGCATTTGTGGTAAAGAATTCTCTATATGTGCAGCAAGTTTAGGAAGCAAGACCTTTGTGAAGGAGACGACCTGCAAGCAGGCTGTGCGACTTGACCTGCGTACTTTGCTCACTTAAATTAACAGAAACACCACTGACATTTTCTCCTGGGAGTGAACTGACAACTGTAATTGGGAACCAATATGGGAATCTGCGTATCGGGTTAACTCCCAAATACACATGTAAATTCTGAACGTAGATATTCATTTATATATGTATACAAACGATATTGGAAAAATTACAGAAACTCACAATTGTGTTATGAATCATACAAGCAGGCTAGGTATTGTTCATTTGAGAAAACATGAGATAGTTAAATAAAAACTCAGCACACACGGCATGTATTTAAGATTAACCACGCCCCTACCCAAAATAATAGAGTGGTGGTATATGAGTGACTTCCAGCTCCTTCCAGAGGACGCCGCTATCCCGGTCTAATTCTCTCGCTCTATCTCTACCCCCTCACTCTCTCTTTCTTTCTCTCTCTATCTCCCCCCTCTCTCTCTACATAGGACATTTTTGGCTGATCATTTCTATTTATACTCTTCTCTTTTGTGAACAGTCGTTATGTTATGCTTATGTGATCTGTCTTTTCGCATCTACATTTACTTCGATGTTACATAAAACAGATCATCATTGTATTTGCTTTGCAATGTCTATTTGGAAATAGATTGAATATGATGTGAGAGGGGAATGGGCCGAACAAATGACTATGGCTAAATTCTGATCTAGACTTAGATTTCTGAAATACTTTTTTTTGAAAGTCGTATTTTGTTGCGAAAAATAATATTGGCTTATAAGTTTTCTCGCGATAATTTTCAAGAAGAGAGAACAGATAAGGTTGACGTAAATATCTTCAATGCCATTTCGGGATATCATTTCGCATCTTCTGTTCTCAGACAGAAAACCCGTTAAAAATATGACAATTACCTATAGAAATGTCACTAATACTCGATGCTTCATCGGAAGAAAATCGATATATCCATTCATAACCTCACAAGTATCAGAATTTAAATTTTTTGGTAGTTTGGCAATTTTACAGACACACACACACGTCTGTGTGTGTAAGTATATGTGTGTATGTGTCTGTGTCTACGTGATCATGTATATGCGTTTGCGTGTAGCTGTGTGTTTGTGTGAAGCATGTATAATAATGTACGAAACAAAAGTGATGAAGACGAGTCAAAATAGAAAATTTATTAACGACGCGTTTAGCCAGAGCGTCTGCTCTCTTTCGCTTCCATCGGTTAGAATAAAAGAAAGACAAAACTCTAGGTGAGGAAAATGACTCGGGGAACCTAAAGATATGTATTCAAAAATCAAATTAAATTAGATACCTTATCACTTTTCCAGAGAGAATATACGGTCTGTCCGTCTTTTATTTTGTAAGATTGTTTTATCTGCATCAGAGGCGTTCGGTGCTGTAGAGGATTAGGAATCACTCCATCGAAAATAAAGATTGTTTTATCCTATATATATATATATATATATATATATATATATATATATATATAAAATGAAAATATTTATCTCAAAACATTTCCCTTTCTTTTTATATATATATATATATATATATATATATATATATATATATATGTGTGTGTGTGTGTGTGTGTGTGTGTGTGTGTGTGTATGCGTTGTATACTTTAATATCAGTACCCCGAAAGTAAATACATACACGCCAGCACACACATGAACATATATCAGTGTCTTTTTCTATACTTGTACAGATAAATTAATGAATTTATTTTATTTAAAATTATTATTATTAATATTATCAATTTTGTTAGCGGTATTTATAGAAGCCAAAAGACTAAAATGTTATCATGACTTCCTTCTTGTATCTCCTTGTAAGTCTACTTGGGTGTCAGACCAGTTGCAAGCTAAACAATATTCTACAGTATTATTTAGTTTATTGAGATGCATTTTAATTTGTTGATGAAATACGGAATTGGGAAATCCATTATGAACAAGTGTTCGTTAAATATTTTTGCAAGAATGGTTTTGAAAGAAGATATCATTTGTGTGCGTTGGATTAAGTTTTTTTATAACCGCTAAATTCTCTTGTTGGGGATTTCACTATAATAATTAAGAAGACACGAGTTAATGCTAGTGAGTTTCCAACATGAAAATGTAGTAAATTTATGTGTGCTGGAATCAATAAATACATCAATAAATGCAATTTTATTATTAAGGTCTAACGTAAACTTGAGGACAGAGTGACTTTCAAGTTTGTTTTTAAGTTGTGCAATTAGATCAATACTTTTAGCCAAAACAAAAATGGCATCTATGTATCTTACATATTTAGGGGTTTTATTAGTGTCATAAAGTTTGTTTTTTTTCTAAATGTGCCATTTAATAATTAGAAAAAAAGGCTTAAAGGAGATCCCATCGCAATACCAACACGGAAAAGACATAGCAGAGGTATTTCTTGATTTTTGTGAGAAAAAGAAAAAAAAAATTTTTTTAATTTTTTCTTATAAAAAAAAACACATATTCTCTATCCATTTTTTGCTGTGATTTCATTTTGCAACTTCTGTGATTGTATTAAAATCATAAAAAAATATTTATAATTTCGGATAATAATAATAATTAATACCAAGGTTTAAATAAACTTGCACAGAAAAAGTTGAAATATCTGGTCATAAATGAAATACCTAGTCATCCCTCAGTCCATAATCTGTTTTCTCAAAGTTTTTTTCAGATGAAAATTAGATTAATATTTGAAGATTTTTGTGGAAGAAGTAGTTGTAATATTAGTCGTTTCCTTATAGGGAAACATTCGGCATTTATTGGCCTAGATGCCAGTGGCAGTATCGGATGAAATTTATAAAATCTTTCTCTTGAAACAATTTTTATGAAAAATAGTTTCCACAAGACCAGCAGCTGGTATTGCTCTTTTTGGCATTGATGGGGGTTTATGAGAAAGCTTTTGTTTGAAGTTATGTGCAATTTCAACACCTTAATTATGTCTTTATTTCATCTTCGCGTTATATTTCATTTCTATTTTACTTGCTGCTGTTGTTGAAAGTAATGAAGTGAATTCGATTGTGTTATTTAGCGCATTTTATTTCAGTTGGTCTATTCCACAAAGTTTGATGAAGGCTTCTTCTCGCTGTGACCTACAGGGTTCTTTCGCTCAAATTCAGTTTTAACCATGGATCTAAGAAGGCGTTGGTAGACAGCTGACAGTTTGGAAAGTTATGAACGATTTTGCTGCCAAGCACGGCATCCCTATGAAAGTCTCGGTCTGACGACGCCATTTAAGTGCCTGACTCGAGTTTATATTTTTATTTTTTTTGGTAAATTTTAATAATTGATATATATATATATATATATATATATATATATATATATATATATATATATATATATATAACTGAATACAGGGTTGGTAAAGATGGAATAAAATTCCGATAATCAAAACCACTATTTTTAAAACAGTGTTCACTAAAAATAGAGCAAATAATATTTATTCAAAAATTATAACGTAAGCCATGTTATAACATCACTATAAAAATAGCCATTTTGTTTCAACACTTCTGGTGTCTTTTCAAGTGACAGTGTTGGTTGCGAAATAAAGAGATTTTTTTGAAAATTCAAAACTAAATCACCCCCGTCAACAGAGGAAACCTTGTTACATAACCTATGAAAACCAATCAGAATTGAAAAAAAAAAAACTGACAGTGTATTCTAAATACAAACTTAGTTGATTAAATTTAATTTTATATTAAAGGAGAAATCAATATTAAATAATTAAGTTTGTATTTTAAGGTAAAATTAATAATTAAAAATTTCAAATAGAATTGTTTGCCCTTTATTAGATTATTTCTTTCGATTTAACTTTATCGAAGAAAGCTATTTTTTTCGGATAGGCAGTTAATCCCTGTTGCTGAACCCTGTTCGTGATTCCTAGTTTTGCTCCTAATACTCAAAAAAGCCAAATCGTAATTCATAATGCCTATATACTGAGCGGAAATTAATAGAAAAAAGTCTGTAGGCACGAGAGAGAGTCTGAAGAAATTCAATACATTTAAAACCTCCGTCATAGATGCCATGATGGCTTGTGACTTCTTACGTGAACTATCAACGGTTTCGGCTACTCACAGTTCTCTCACAAGACTTGTGTCTGGTTGTTAGGCATTTCTAAAGGATGGAACACGTTAATACCTTTTTTACTATGACGATATTTTAAACAAGGAAAACTCAAACCAGATTTCATACTCGGAACCTGTTGGGGCCACCCACCTTCTCATCAGAATGGACTGATCTCTCTACTACTAATAGGACAGTTCTATAGAGTTCTGGGAGATCAGGTGACCATCACACTTCCGTCTCTCTACCGGAAGATACAGTTGGACTTTATACTCTTACTGATTGTTACTGACTACACTGCGTTCGTTTGACTACTAATCTCTCTGTTGTAAATACCTCTTCAGATATACCAGTATTTTTCCCTACGTATGTGTTTGTCCTTATTTCAATACACGCACGGGGAAACACTCAACATCTCAACAGGACCCCCTCCTCAAATTGGAAGAATTCACTAACGCACCCAATGCTTCCTTATACATTTACATTAACACGAATTCTAACGGATAAAACTATTTTTTTATTACATGATTAGGAAATGAAGTGGGAAATTAATTTCATGTTCGACGCCACTTAAAATCCATATCAAAGTTGAAATCCTTTGAATGCCATTTTTTTTTAATTTGTCATTCACTGCCTTATCTATTATATGCTAATAACTTTTTCCACAACATCTATCTGAAATTTCGAAATAAAATATGAAATATTGCAATGTATAAATCAGAAATCTAATTTAGAAGCAATTAATAACTAATATTATATTCTAGAAAGATTCTAAGTCATAAATAATTAATACAGCTTTTCCTATGACAGATGGCATCATTCAATATTTGTGTAGGTCTGAGTCAAATTTTCTATTCATTTTCATTTCATACTCAGAATTATCACTTCATCTTTATGCGTTGACGTGGAGAGAAATCATAAGTTATCAATCACTGCATTATAGTCTGTCAAAAAATATCTCAAACCGTGGAAGATCAAGTGTATTAATTAAATATACAAAAGGAACAATATTTTTATCTATTTGTTATTTGAGAGCAACCTATTTCAGACGACGCATTTCTTTTTTTCCGTTTAACTGTTTTTCTTGATCACATTCTTAGTATCAATATTGT